GAAAAAAAAAAAGGCAATATAAGTGGTACCTCCATCACCTCCTGCGTCCACCCTGCTTCCTTTTTCCCCACCTCAAAAAGGGATTTTGGAAGTTACCTTCCAATACTTTTACACCATTTCTGTTCAATACTATCAGATCAATTCATGCATTTTCCTGCTGGCTCTTCTACACCCCAGGTTTCCAGGCTGGCCACCAGGCAGACTGCATTGACAGCAGTGTTGTCTGAAAGGTGAGGGAACCTCTTGAGGGGAAAAATCCCAGTGGATTTTGCTGGGTGGAGGTGGGTGTCCAGCAGTGACCTCTGGGGATGGCCTCAGCATCATCTGGGGGAGGCAGACAAGAGGGGCTGTGCCCCAAAGGCACAGGGAGTGATGGGCATAGCAAACCTCCAGGTAACTCACCTGGCCCTTTAGCTTTTTCTGCCCTTCCTTTCAGGATACTTTTTATGGGTGACAAAAGCAGGGCATGACTTTTGGTCTTCAGGAAGAGAAATGTTGTACCCCAAAATCAGCCAAATTGCAGGAAATGCTACTGCAGTGCTCTGATCACTGCAGGCAGGATTAGTTCACTTCACCCACTGGGCTTTCCCAAAACCATTCATGCTTTAGATCTGTTAACCTGATGTAGGCACACTTCAAAGGCACACGGAGGTACCACCTAACCTTTGGTGGGGTTTCAAGGTGGGAAATCAGGTGCTCAAACCAGATGACACCTATTCTGAAGGCTGATGCACACCACCTAAAATAGACCAGCAGGCAAAATAATCTGGGAAGAACACTTGGTCTCGGGATTTCTGTTTTCCTATAAATAAGAGAATGAGAAGTAATACTGAAAGTTGAAAGTGGAGGGGATGTGCTGCCCAGGGCTTGCTGTGGTGTCACAGGCACAGGGCTGGTGCACAGCCAGCAGCTGTGGTGTGGCAGGGCAAAAAGAGATGCCTGAACCCAGCGGCCCAAACTTCTCTTTCTAAGGACTGGAATGGAGTGAGCTGAGCTCAAAATCCCTGTTTTTCTGGTCACAGTGGAGCAAGCTTCCTTCTACTATGATCATACTGCAGGAAACTGAATTTGGGAAGCTCTGTTTTGGGGTAGAGGGCAAGCTCTCATGCCTGCCTGTCACATGCCATGTCAATTAGCAGGAAAAAAGATAACGTGCTCCCTGGTGCTGGTTTTCACCTCCTAGACTCACAAAAATAAGGAGTTAAGTTGCTCTCAGTACCAGGACCAGAGGGAAGAGGCACAAGCTGAAACACAAGAAGCTCCATCTAAAAACAAGGAAAATATGTTTGGTTGCAGACACTCCATGCTTGGAGATGTTTAAGCCCTGACAGAACCAGCTTAAAGCAGCAGAAAAGGATCTGGGGTGTTGGTGGACAGCTGGCTGAAGATGAGCCAGCCTGTGCTCAGGTGGCCAAGGAGACCACCAGCATCCTGGCCTGGAGCAGCACTGGTGTGGCCAGCAGTGCTGGGGCAGGGATTGTCCCCTGGACTTAGTGCTGAGGAGGACACACCTTGACTCTTCAGCTACTTTTGGGCCCTTCCCACCAAGAAGAACCTTGAGGGGCTGGAGCGTGGCCAGAGAAGGGCAATGGAGCTGCTGGGGAAGGGTCTAGAGCCCAAGTGTGGGGAGGAGCAGCTGAGGGAGCTGGGGGTGCTGAGCCTGGAGCAAAGGAGGCTCAGGGGAGACCTTCTGGCTCTGCACAGCTCCTGACAGGAGCCTGGAGCCAGGGGGGGGTCGGGCTCTGCTCCCAAGGGACAAGGGACAGGACAAGAGGAAACAGCCTCAAGTTGCCCCAGGGGAGGCTGAGGTTGGACATGAGGAAAAAAATTTCTTCCTGCTAGCAGTTGCTTTGGAACAAAATCCACATCAAAAAAGTGCTGCTCAGAGAAGTTGTTGTGACCCTCCTGTGATATCTCAGTGTGTTGGGTTAACCCTGGCTGAGCAAGTGCCCACCAGGCCCCTCTGTCACCCTCCCCGGTTCCTCTCCTTCCTCCACAGAGCAAAAGGGGAAAGGAAAATGGGATTGAGACAAAACCCTTGTGGGTAAAACAAGGGCAGCTGAATGGGAAAGCAAAGCCAAGCAATGCTGAGCGTGGAAGAGAAGAGAAACAACCCAGAGACTGATTCTGCCCTTCCCACCCCAGGGGGTGTCTGGCCTGCCCCGGGGAGCAGGGCTCCAAACGCACAGCGGCTGTGCCAGAGGACCCAGGAGCAGCCCCCCCAATTCCTCCTCCTTTTACCAGCTCTCTGCTGAGCTGAGCCCACATGCTCTGGAACGCCCCTTTGGTCAGCGGGGGTCAGATGTCCTGGCTGTGCTCCCCCAAACTCCTGCTGCCCCCGCTCTGTTCCCCACGTGCCCCCTGCAGGGGCTGTCAGCAGGAGCCTGGGTGCTGTGGGAGCCCTGCCCAGCGGCAGGCACAGCACGGGGGGGATCAGCACCCCCCCCACTGCCAGC